CATAGCATCAACATCCTAAGCGCTGAAAAACATTGACCGGCGCACAGAAGCTTCAGATACAAAGTTGTGTGGGAAGCTTTCCGGGCCTTCTCCGCAGTGGCAAGTCTGGCCTCCTCTTTGGCCGCTGCGGCTTCCTTTTGCGCCTGAACCAACATGTGAAGCTCAGGTCTATGCCCCGAACGGACTCTGGAAGTGTCCTTCCACATGCACTCCGCATGTGCAAGTTAACTTGGCACAAAAAGTGCCTCTCAAGGCCTGCTCCAGCTTAAGCTTGACGTCGCTCAGCTCGCGCGCGTAGTGAGCCTTCGGACGCTCCCGCAAAGAAGCTTAGCATTGTCCGGCCCCACCATCATCCTCCGCCCCCACAGCATCACCATCCTTAGCATTCTTCTTGACCTGCTGGCGCTGGGGTGCTCCAAGAAGCTTGAGAGCACCCCAGCATTCAGCATCCTGGCCCCACCATCATCAGCCGTCCCCACAACATCAACATCCTTAGCGTTGAACGCTGAGGTTTCCGGGCTTTCTCTGCAGTGGCAAGTCTGGCCTCCTCTTTGGCGGATGCAGCTTCCTGCTCTGGACCACATGTGCAATTTTAAATCGGCACAAACAGTGCCTCTTACTGCGTGACTTGTTGTGACTTTGTATCCCTGAAACCTCACCTTCCAACTGTCGCTGGGACAGGCCTTCGCTTTGAATTTCTTTCCATACGATGTGACAACGCATGCATGATTGTGTGAATTCGTGAACTATATGTCCTGATGCTTTGATGCTGTTGACCGTAGCGCGCCTTCATGCCACCGCGGTATGACGTTCAACCTCCTCCCTATCCAACGACGCTCCCGATAAGACGTTTAGTTGTTTGTACGTTTGTACGGCTTGTTATCTGGCAGGCCAACGCCAGGTACCTGCGTACTTGCCTGTCCCTTGCTTAGACGCTACTGTGCCGAAGCGTCGCGTATTCCAGGGCCAAACCGAGGTTGCAGTGCTAGTGTACCAACGAAACGGTGGTTAGCGAAAATCCGTGAAGCCTTCTGCCTTATGCTGACAATGGCATCCCATGCAAGCGACGCTCCGTGTACGTCTGTGATTTCGAAGGAGCCACCCCACCACCCTGGGTGTGCATCATCATGGGTACTCAGATGCTTGCACCGCTTCCAAACACGGATTGACCCACCACAACAAACTCTTTCTGAGGACAGAACACGACCTGAGCCTGAGGAGGATTCACCACTGAAATTGCCGAGGATGACCGGCAGGCGGCCTACGCAGCACAAGCCACATCCACGATTCTGGTGTGAATGCTCTAGCTGGCACTTTGGTGCTTTGAAACTGCGGGGTCCCTCTTCCTCATTTGACTGCCAACTTGTATGGACATATATGGACATGTTGAGTGGGAAGCTACCATCATCGTCATTGCTGTCAACCAATCTTACTTCAGAGGCAGGGCCAGGCCAACGAAAGCTACGATGGTCTCTGCAATCATGCGCAGGATCAACAGCAGGAGCTCCATCAAGCACTACCATCATCAGCATCAGCCGCCGCTGCAGCAGCAGCATCATCAAATTGTCATCACCACCTCATCCTCATCTTCCTCGGCGAAAGCAAAACAAACTTAAAAGACCGTCCACGGCATCCTCGTGTCATCAAAAACAAAGCAGCGTTTTTCGACATCAGACTCAGCATCACCAGCAGCATCATGAACAACAACGACATCGTCATCACAACCATCATCATCTTCATCGATGCAAGCGTACCACCACCATGCCCACCATCCTGAGGGTAGGGCAGAAATCGTCGTCATCATCAGGCCACACTCTGACAGCTTCTTTGTCGACCGTTCTCGCACAAAGTTATCCCTGGTATTTGGGGAAGTTGTTTAGTCGCCTCCCCTCCGTGGGTTTGCATAAGGGAAATTTAATTTGCACTCTGACATGAGCACGCAAGCCAAAAGCAATGTGGCTTATACTACATACTCCCATGCACTTAGCTTGACCCCGCCACTACCCTGCCTCTTCCTTTGCCTAGGACTGCGCTGGTTGCCGCGTGCTTGCAGATCATGTGAGCATTCGTTCCAAAGGGAGATAGGCCTGATCATGCAATTGAAGGGTTGAACCATGAAGGCAGCTCCTCTACGCCAACATGGTTGTGCCGCAGAAGCACCTCCGTTTCAAATGTCCAGGCCTGGCGTGCCTCCCTGCATGGGTGCGATGGTTGGGACCTCCGCAGCACAGTCCTCAGGGTCTGTGGAGCTAGCTCAAAGACACGGAGTTCTCAAAACTTCGTGCAATTGCAAGCACCAAGTCCTCGAGATCGATCTCCGGCTTCGACTTCGCAAGATGGACGTTGGGTGCAGTCTTCTTTGCCAAAGAGTGGAACCTCAGAAGAACAAACCGTTGTGAGCATGAAGCCATGCTTTGACATGAAGCCGTGCTTCGACCGAGCGGCACCCGTCCTGGGAGATAGGGGACACGCATCCTTAGGTCAAGATGGGGGTCCAGGTTTTTTTTTCGTGTTTTTTCTGGGCTTTTTTTCGTATTTTCATGGTCTTGGGTCTAGGGTCTAGGGTTTAGGGTTTAGGGTTTAGGGTTAGGGTTTAGGGTTTTTAGGGTTTTTAGGGTTTTTAGGGTTTTTAGGGTTTTTAGGGTTTTTAGGGTTTAGGGTTTAGGGTTTAGGGTTTAGGGTTTAGGGCTTAGGGTTTAGGGTTTAGGGTTCACCTGAAACCATACAAAATACGAAAAAACACCCAGAAAAAACACGAAAAAAGAACCATCAGCCTCAAGATGGCGTCACCGTCTAGAGCAATTGTTGAGGATCCAAGCCCCAGTATAAATCGGCTGTGCCATACCATCTTATACCATGGTATACTACCATCTTAGGAAATTTCAGGTGCTCATAAACGCGGTGCCCGCAGATTGTAAGATCATGGGTTTTTGTACAGTTTCGCGCCTGATTGTTCCCTTTTTTTTTGTTTTCTGGATCGGGCCAACTACGTGGTTCTTCTGGCGGCTAGCGCAGTCACCTGTGAGTCCAAATCCAATGGCCTCCAATGGCCTCGCAAACTGAGGCGCTGCCCTCAGTACATCCTGCGTCGCTACAAAAGCACCCTTCCTGGCGATGCGAGCACACTCCTTCATCTGTGCACGTTTTGCTTTGAGCCCGTGATGGTTTACGGGTATGCGTTGTCTGCCCCCCCCCCCCCCCCCCCCCCCCCCCCCCCCCCCCCCCCCTCAGCCCACCGCCTGGGTCTCGGGTTTGTCTAACTTAATTCCCGCGTGCCAGAACCATGCCCCTGCGCTGCATAGTCTGCTGGATTTAGAAGATATAGGTGCAGGTGACATCCCGACATGTCCAGAATCACTGACCCGGCGAATTTCCCAAGAACACTCTGAGCTATGTATGGCGAGCAGCTTCCGACTGACTGGGATTGACTGGGCCTCCCCCTTACTATAGTAACTATACTTAAGGGACTTATAGCCCAAGTTAGGATCCTTATAACCCAACTCAGGGCTCTTATAACTCTACTTATAACTAGGGGGTTCCTCCTTGTACTCCCCTCTACTCCCAACCTTTAAGTTTAGCTTAGATGGCACTCCTCAGCAGTTTCCCTGGAGAACCATGCCCTCTAACAGAACGGGGCAGCACATGTAAAGCTCCTTGATATATGGTAGGACAAACCAGCCGGCCCCAATTCCGGGCAGCAGGCGTCACCGCTGCCCGTCTCTCTCAAGCTCCATCACCCTTTTTGACCCCGCGCGCTCTGACTCCGTCACCCTACAAGGTCGATATATAGGTATAGATCATCAACCCTCCACGATTCAACATCGTCTTACGCCAACTTCGGCTAAGCGGCACCCTGCCTGGGCTGAAAGGAAGCTCCTCAGCATTGTGAAGCGTGAGAAACCCATGTCAAGTTGTCGCAAGCATGGGGAACAGTTCCTGACTCCAGCTGTCCTGGGAGCTGCGGATGGGCACTTGCGCTGCACGTGGCCTGAGTCGGTTTTGGAAACGTGAGTATGTCTGGTGCCAGGAAGGCGGTGGCAGGGTTAAGAACATCTGGGCCACGCGCATGGCGGAGCCAGAAGATTCACAAAGAGGGCGCGGGGTATGTCGGGTGCTGCAAGCAGAAAGAGGGCTGCCGTGGGCTGCCACATGTGTACAAGCGCCGGGCTTAAGAATGTACACACTAGGCTTCAAAGCACATGTCGCAATTCAAAGAAAATCAACTACATAGGGCACATTCTGCCACATTATAATTAGGTTTGTCTTTGAGTTGTGTGTGAGGTTTCAGGGTAGCGTTGTCGTTGAAGACGAACCCAAGCAAAAACCTGATGATTATGCAATCGAGCACGGCCTGCAAAGAACTGGTTTGGCTTGGGCTTGGCCTGGGTTCGGATTTGTCATATAGTGAGGCGAGTTTGGGTGGACTCAGCCCACCCCCCCCCCTCTTTCCCAAGTGCTGTTGGGTTCAGATATCTTGCTTGTGAAGCGAGAGGGATATGTTAATAAAAGTCAGGGCTTGGTTGGGTTGGCTGGGATTTGGCTGATGCCTGATGCAATCGTGAACATTGCTGGCAGCTTGAACAACAGAAGTCTCAACGTGCTACTGCCGTGGGGGCACAGGGAAAACCTCGTTTGGGAAAAAACCCTGTGCTCCACACTGCAGAAGTGCCGTCGTGCGCGGCACCCTGAAAGAATGACGTGTGATTCTCACATGCCGTCGTGCGCAGCACCCCTCAACATTGCTCGGCTTTGGTTTGGTTTTGTTACGTCGCGGAGGGGTTCGGGGTGCGGGAGCCGGTATGGCACGCATCCATGATTTTGCAACTACCTTACCAAGTACCTTGAACCGATACTAAAAGCAAGAAGCACGCTTCTCTTCAATTTTGTCTTGCTGTTGAGCCGCTTCTTGAACCGTCTGTGTCCCCGAAATGCTTGCCGCCCTGTCGGCTCAATCCTTGGCACCTATAAGCGGTGTCACACATCAAAGAGTTCTGTCGCTGCTAGACTATGCCATCCACAATCTCATCTCGGTAGCCCATCTCATGTAACTCCAGAATAACTCGGTTTACACGGTCCTTAAGCACATCGCCGTCACCGATGCCATGCTCACGGCAATGGCGTTTCTCCACGCTGTAGAGATGCACCTTCTTCCGCATGTCTGCCAGTGTCGGCGACATCTGGGGGATCAACTCCAGTACGTAAACGTCTTGGAAAAAGGCTCTGGCAGCGCTCTCCTTCGCTGCATCCCATGTCAGCTGGGGCATCCCATGGAAAGGCTCCGCCTTAAGGCAGGTCAAGAGCCGAGCAAGGAAGGGCCTTGCTGTACGGCTGTCTTCTATGGTAAATCTGTAGGCTTCGCGGTTCTTGCCCATGGTGTACCGCTCAAAGAACCTTCTGACGTTTTCCACCGAGCTCGTCTTGTAGTCGTAACTCCATCCCGCCTTGCCTTCACGCACCAAGGATTGCGCAATCTTCGCGAAATCAATGCGGCGAAGGATGCCCTGGCTCTCGAGCTCTTCAATCTTCGACTGACGCCGCGCCTCAAAGGCTCAAGTTCACACTGACAGCTTGGAAACCAGCATGGCACAAGCATGAAAGCGCACGGGGACGTACCGGCATCATTCGCTGGCAGTCGCGTGTGGGCCTCCCGGTTCTTGCTTGGAACATCAACTGTTTCTGCAGCAGATGGGTCGCGCGCCTCCAACAGGGTGATGCGATCCAACAGCAGCAGAGTAGGTCCGAAAAGCTCACTCTTGACATGTCACCCTGTTTCCTCCTCACGTTCGGCATGCTCCATATCGTAATGCTCGATGCGAGTGTCCTGGTACAAGAAGCAAGACAGGATTCATGAAAATACTGAGACCCGTGGCGGTCCATTCATTCATCTGTGCTTCGCGGCTGTAGTGCTTGATGTCAAACGTCGGACCCCGGCACGAGTGTAAAGTGAGACTTGCAAACGGGCATACAGCTGCGCATACGGAACTGGTCCTCGTCAGGCCTGGCCACAGGATAGGCGAAGCGAGGGGGCGCAGGATCTTTCTGGCACACCCCTGGTGGAGAAGCATCGCTGCGAGCCGTCTCTCGCTCTGGTGGAGTGCAGAGCTCCTGAAGCATGTGCGCAGCACCACGAAGCATGCCCAGGTTAAAGCGCGTTGTTCCAAAGGACGCCCAAGCGGGGAGGGGGGTCCTTATCGATTAACCACCACACCGTAGGCTCAGTCACCTCGTGACTGACCCGGGGGGGGCGGGGGGGGGGGCGCGACTCCTTAAATCATTGCGAATATCGACAACTAAGGCTGTAAACAAAAGCTTCCACAAGCTCTGAAGGAGATAGCTTTCGCGACTTGGTGTTACCAATAGAAGCTGGAAGTTGAGTAGCTCGCCTCAACTTCCTGGAGATCGAGAAAGCAACTTGACTAGACTCGTGACCCTCGCCTGAAAGAATACAGTATACAGGAACATGTGACAAAACCCCCGGCTTTTCGCAGCATCACTTCAGATAACTCCCGGGAATGTCATCTGACCTCTGACGCTCTGCGGAATGCAAGAGGAACCAGAGCTTCGTGGTGGGGGCTGGCTTAGCCGGGAGCTCCCAGCACAGGTTTTTATTGCTTAAGGTTAACCCTAAATCCTAACAAACCCCAAAACCCTTAGGGCCCACCACTGTCAGTACCTCTCTTTTTAGCGTTCAGGGTTGGCCAAGCTTGCCCTTCCCAAAACATCTTCGTGAAAGGTTTGGGGCTTGGTAGCTTGACTTGGTTTTGGTTTCGCCGGTCTCCAATCATGATGCGTGCCTTCCTTCCTTCCTTCCTTCCTGAAAGCCGCTAAGCCAAGCAGCCGTGCAGAGTCCCACCCACCCACCACCCCTCAAACAAGACCATTTTTATCTTCGAACATCCCCATCCTGCAGGTAAGGAATTTGCGGGCTCACACTGGGGTTGGGCACTCCAGGGACTCTCTGGTGATTCTCTGGGGCACTCAGGGGCCTCTCCGAAAATATTTGGGGTTATGCCCTCCAGGGACTCTTGAAAATACTCTGGTTGGGCACTTCAGGGACTCCCTGGGGATACTTTGGGGTGATGGGCGAGGAGCAGACCGGGCGAAAAGAACAGTTCAAAATCTAACAACCCCACACCGAGGGTGGGTAGAAAAAATGATGCCCGCAAAAACAAGCCCGCAGTTTGAGAACACGAGTCTCCATTTGGTCTTCGACTTCAGCTTCCAGCAGCGGGTCGGTGAGCTCGTTCTGGACCTCCACTTCCGTCTCCGCTTCCGTTTCCACTTTGGCGGAGTCCACTTCCTGCAAGAATTCTGAAATGGAGCCCTGTTGGTACCGCTCCGTCTTCAAGACACTGCTATGCGAGGTCGCTGGAACTAGTCTTCCCAGAAAAAGGGTATTTAAGTTGAGTACAGTGTCTGGAGTTGCTCCCTCAACAACGAATCTTGATTAGAGCTGTGGACATACACTTGTCCTGACCAAGCCGCCCACCAAGCCGGGGTCGCTTGGGGTATGGAGTGCAGCCATCATCGTTCTTGCGCGTCCGTTCGGACAGGGTGATGTTCACCTCTTCCTCCGCACGAATTTGTGTGTGTGTGGCAACGGCGGGTGTAGCAACAAAGAAGACGTGAAACAAGGCACAACATGACACTGTCCCCTTCCTTGGCCTCCTCTTTGAACTCCTCCTCCTCCTCCTGCGGCTCTTCTACCTCCTCCTTGACCTCCTCATCTGGCCAGGAAAGTCGCGGCTCCGGCTCGGGCACGCCGACTTGTTGGATGAGCCGTGAGAGCGACAGTTTTGGCATGCCAATGCCGAAGGCACATGGGAGAACAATGATAGGTTTAAGGCTGTGCTAAATGTAAGTGGCTAAGGCTCTGCGTAGTGCTCACAAAGAATGAACTGTGCTACGGGGTGTTAACGCGGTTACAAATCATCTAGAAAAAGAAGAAATACAAATGGAAAGAGCTTTAGGTCCTGCTCACCACTGTATGGACATGCTGTTCGCTCTCTGACAGTTGGTAGCTGCGGTACACAATGGGCAACTTTGATCAAAATTGATGTCATGCAACAACATCATCACATTAGCCACCTGAAGCCTCGCCACGCGCTGCTTGCAAGCTCTTCCTGAAGACCATTGCCTTGTTCCTTAAAACATACGAGAGCTTCTCTGTCCTTAGGCTGCCAATGGCTGCACGCTGAAACTCCTTCACCGGCCGGTCGGACACTGTTGCATTTGTCAAGCAGCTGGCGCCAGAATCGCTTCAGTGTCTTTGCAACAGAGGGAACGTGTCAATGACACCAAGTCAAGGAGCAGCCACGCGCGTCGGATTTCTCCACTTCACACAAGGGAACGGCAAATGCAGCACCAGGTGCTACTGTACCAGAACGCAAAGGCTTGAGCCAGAAACACCAAGAGAGTGGACCGGGTCTTGGTACTCTCAGGCAAGACACGTGTGGGGGACGGCAGGAACGAAAACTCGAGAAGCCACAGGAGAAGAGTGTCGATGGAACTGGCAAATGTGAGACTTGTATAGTTGACTTCCCAGTGCAATCAGAAGGCAGCCAATCAATGATGATTGTGAAGAGTTGAATTCATAAGAGTGACTGACAACATGTGGTGAGAGGGCGTGGAAGCCATGTTATCGCTTTACATCTGAGTGGGGCCCATATCGCTTTTCGTTGGGACCAGGCACCCTGCCTCAAAAGGTTGCATTGTTACTGGAATCGATGTTTCCGCAAGCCTGCTGGATTTTCATCGTTTTTTCCGCAATACAAGCGTGGCACCGTAAGCCAGCTGGGTTTTCATTGTTCCATAACCCTCCTCGGTCTCCAAAGAACCTCTGGAGTGCCCAGCAGTGCGACTTTCGGGTTTTCTGGGCTTCGGCTTATTTAAAATTATTTAGGGCTTTTCAGAGCTTTTCAGCCCAGGGCCCGCGGTGCGGGCAATGGGGAGACATCTCTCTCCTTGCCTTGCCCAACCCCCAGGGTTGCAGAACCAAAGCGTCAGTCCATGAATTAAGCGTGCAACGTTCAATGAAACTCGCCTTCAGAAGTGAAGGAAAGAGTTCTGGCGGTTTCTAGATACCCAATGGGATGTGCGCTCAGCTTGTCTACTGATGTTGCGTCCCTTCAGCGCCATCGTGAGCGGCCAATCTGTGTAAGGCAGCTTTTCCTGCTATGATCGCCGTAGGTGCCGTGTCAAAGCGCGAGCCACGAACTGACTTGACATGTTCGCCGCATTTCTAAACATTTGCCAACCGAATGTCCGCAACAAGCAACTGTCTTTCGTCACGCAAGCGTATCCATGCTATCTGTGTCGGTCATTGAAAGTCTGCTGTGCGCCAGCTACAAGCTGCTTTCCCCACGGCTATGCTTCTGTTTCGCTCACGTATCTCAAACTGCATAAACCAAAATGTGGTCTGATGGTCTGAACGTCCACCGAGCAAGATTGCTGAGCACGCTTCGCTGTCCCCATAGAGTGTGTCAGGAGGCTTGTATCCAATGATATGCTCTTGCTTCGAGCTGTAACACCCATCATCGAGTCTCTAGATGCGAAATGATGCGAAGGGTACTTTTTTTGCACTCAAGCATGTAAAATCATCGCGCTGCTGCAGTTGGCGAAGGCGAGCGTGCTCGGTTCAGAACTGAAACCGACACACCGTCATTGGTGCTGGTCAACTTTGCCCGGAACTCGGCATCCGGCTGTCGGACGCGAACCCGGACGAAAAGTGCCTGGTCGGTCATCGCCGCTGTACAGTGCTTCAGCGTCCAGAGTCGACGATTCGACAGAGACCGCCAGTGCCTCAGCCGATTTTCTGTGGCTCTCGAAACGTCGGGCAAGCTTGATAGGCTTGATGCTTGCCAAGCCAGTGACCAATGCTGCTCTCCACAAACCCGAACCCAAACTCTTCACGTCACTTGACACCCTGCAAAACAACCTTAACCTAGAATCCCAAAACTCCAAGAGGCTGAGGCACTGGTCCGTCGCTGCCACACTACAAACACCAACTGCAACGACCCTAAAGTAAGGCCCCCAAGCAAAGATCATCAGAAGAAACGATCCGAAGCGTACTCAAGAAGCCGCTCGTATGTACGAGCTTAGAAGCGCAAGAGGTCTGGATCCTGAACCAAAAGCTATCCGAACAAGCCCCCGAACCCTGAAGAACCTGAAGACCCGCTCCTCTAATCATTCGCCTCAGCTTCCTGCCGAGAGGCGTCTAGAATCTAGAACAAGCAGACCAGGATCTCCTTCCCCCCTTCCGAATTTCAGTATCCGCCCCCCCCCCCCCCCCCCCCCCCCCCTGTGCGAAGACCCCCTAGAGTCCCTAGAGCATCCTGGCGACTTGCTCTGGAACTTCCCTTGGAACCAGGATTGGCGCAGCCCCCCTACCACCCTTCCCCCACTTGGAGAGTTTCCCCCGGCTACGAACCCCCGGCAACACGAGACAAAAGTAAAGTCTTCCGCAAGCTTTTCAAAGCAAAAGCCCAGAGGCACCCCTCGTGCCACACCACATCCAAGGGCTCGAGCTCGCGAAGAGGGTCGACCTGTGGCGAGCGTGGCCTTTCTGGGGCGGGGCGGGGGGGGGGGGGGGGAGTAGGGGGAAAGTCGGGGGAAAGTCGGGGGAAAGTAGGGGGAAAGCAGGGGGAAAGTAGGGGGAGAGTAGGGGGAGGAGGAGGCCTGCCAAAAAAGGGTTGCCTCTTGAGAGTTCAGGTCGTTCATGAGCTGGAAAATGGGACGCCCATCGCGGAAGCTTGGACTGATACTGGCCTGGGTGAACCTGCACAGAGGAAACGGTCTGGGAGTTTTGAGGGCATTTACAGGCTGCACAGGGCTTTTCAAGGGCTTCAAAGGGCAAGGGCTTCGACTCACACTAGGGGGGGGAGGGTTTTCTGGGGGGTTTTCGGCTTGGGAGGCTTCGTTGGCTTGAGGGCTGCTTTGGGTTACCCTGAAGCCAAAACGCTCCAAAGCTGGAGCCTCAACTTTCTTGGGTCCATCTTGCGCTCGAGACGGAAGAAGTCCGTCCCGGCCTCTTCGGGGGGAAAGCAGGCTTCTATGCACTTCTAAAAAGGTCTTCTGGGTTCTGTTTCGGGGGGGGGGTTCGGACGGAATCCGTGGTTTACATTTGCCAGAACAGGGGGCTTGTCTCACAAAATTCCACAAAAAGAACCATCAAACGAAAATACCCCCTATACAACAACACATATGTTTAGGTGCTTCCGGGTCCAGATTCTTAGGTGTACCTGTGAGGACGTCTCTTGAAACAGCAGCTGCTCCTCGTCGGGGATTGACCACCTGGGCTGCTAGGACAAAGCGAGATCCCTAGGGCTTCATTCTGCCCACATTGGAATCTTGGGTTTGGCATGCGAGGCGCAAGTGTTGAACCCATAGGAAGACAAAGGTCTGCGCCTCGCGGGGCTCTCCTTCTCAAGCTCTAGACGTGAATAAGTGGCTTATGATGGGAAGAGGGGCAGGGTACGTCTGTTTTGGGTAGCACACTTCAGAGACGCTGAACAGCATTGTACGCCTGACTGGCAAATGCGACTTGCTGCAAGCGGCAAAGCCAACTCACGAAGAATTTCTGCGATGCCTACTTCTACGCGTCTGCCTGTGGACGATGTTCGAATCATGTTCCACGGTCGGTTCTTGGATGCTTCCGGGCCCATCTACGTGAACCCTGCGCCAGGCTCGAACTGCTTACAAATGCCCTGGCGGAGCTGCGTGCAAGAAGTAAACCCAAAAAGCCCAATATGGTTCAACTGTCAGTCATTTTGACTGTTTTGAGGTGTGATTCCCATGGGGTTTCTGGGGAAACCCGAAGCTTGAGTGCTGTGAGGGACTTGCTTTGCCTCAGCTGACAACGGGGTTTCTTGAACTTCGGGTCCCTCTAAATTTAGGGATCCCTTGGTTTCTCTTCTTTTTCTGACACTCCCCTAAATTCTTAAAGCCTGAAGCCAAGGAGCTGTGCAGCAATGGCCTTCGTAACGTCTCCTCGACCAGCGCACGATGCCGAGAGCTTCTGTCCACCCGGGCCATAGATGATCGTCATCCTGGCGTCCTGCGACCATCCCGAAGCGAAAGGAGGTTTAGGACGTTTAGGCGGTTTGGGGGTTTTGGGGCTCTGTGGTTTATGCATGTTTCTGCCACGGCAAAGCTCCACAAACCTACTGAAATAGTCTTGACCCAGCAATGAGCGCAACGGTAGAAGAGCCCCTGCCAAGGCTTGTAGGGCTAGGACCACTTGGACTTATATAGGTCCGCCAGTGTCGAATATACACTCTCGAAAGTAAGGTAGTAAATACAAGCCCTACTACTTTGCCATCACAACCCCTCAAGAGCTGGATGGTCCACAACTCAAGAAACATGAGAACCGCCTTGTCCACCCATAGAGAACCCTCTTCGAACTTAGGTTACGTTAGCAAGATCTGCTAGCTGGGAGTCCAAGCTGGGAGTCCAAGCCAGGCCTGGCATGTAGAGTTCAGCGCCTTCTGTCCTCCAAAACTGTTCCCTGGTTGTCTCTACTCTCATGAACAGCCTGAGCCATCAGAAAAACCCGCCAGTTTCGGGTGGTCCTGTTGGGGGCTCGCCCGATCCGCCGTAGAATCCGAGGACCTTTCTGCACACTGAAGTGGCTGCAGTGAGGCCGCAGGGATTTGGCTGCCCGCAGCGCCTTGAGGGAGCCATACACTCTTGTTGAGGAACTTAGCTTAACATCATATATCATATTCTATACTGTGCGTCCATTTAGCATTGAAAACCTCAATCGTGAAGAAGAACCCGGGTGGGTGCTGGTGTTCGAACGTGGCTTAGGGGTAGCTGCTAGCTGTAACCATGGGTCAAAACCCTCTTGCGAAAGGCTACTGAGGGGTGCGCCTGGCTTTCGAGCAGCTCGGACAGGCGGGTGGCTAGGAGGAGGGAAATAGCGGAGAAGTGGGGGGGAGGTTAGGGTTGGGGGTTACCGGAACAGTTGCCGACATGTTCTGAGCATGTTGTAAGCACGACACTAACTTCAAAAGGTTTACACATCGCGCCTTGCGAGCCTGTAAGGCTGCCTTTGCCTGAGCCGGGTTCCGCCAAGGGTGCTGCAGGCGGTCCGGCTGGACTGTTTGAGACCGGCGGCGCTTTGCGAGGAATGACAGGGGGCGCTGATGGCGGCGCTGGTATGGTCCTGTCGGGCGGCAGCCTTCCTGCAATCTGAGCCTGTTGCTGTTGCAAGTGTTGCAGCGTTTGCTGATGGTGACTCTGCAGCCAGGCATCGAAATCAGGTCTGCCGGATAAGACAGCTGGTGAGCGAGCCATCACAGCGGACAGAGGCCCTTCTGTCTTGGCTCCGAAAACGGCTGGATGCCGATTGATCAATCGTGCCTCGGGCACATGCTCCGAACCTGTTCGGAATACCGCCGCACTCTGGCTCATTGCCCATGGCGGCATCGCAGTTTGCACTGGAGCTTCCAGCCTCGCAGGCTCTGCTGGCTCAGCAGCCCGCAAGCTCTTGATGCTTCCAGATTGGTTTGGCGCAGGCAGCACGGGCAGTGCCGCTGTCACAGCAGCCGGTGTGACCGCACTCGGTATGACCGGTGCTGGTGCAGGTGCGGCTTGGCTGTTTGTTTCGGATGGGCTTGAAGTTGCTTTTTCCTTCCGGGCCAGATTTCGGAGCCTCTTCAAGTTGTGTGGATCCAATTTCATTTGCTGGCAGGTGCTTCCACACTTGTGGCTGTTGAAGAAGGCCCGCATACCTTCTACGCCAAGATCGCCCGGTCCGAAAGCTTTGTCGTCGGACACCACCTGTGGATCGGTCATGATCATGTGCGGCCGCCTTCGATGGGCTTTATCCATGTACACACCCTGCAAGTCAAGGACCATGTACTTGCCACCACTTGCATCAAAGGTGAAGTGCGAGAATGCCTGTGCAATTTCCGTGTCGGGGGCTTCCTCATTCACGTAGCCATGATTCGAGTTGTACTTTAGGAAGGCTCCCGGCAAATATCGCTCACCAACAAAGTACTTTGTGGGGGCGGTACTTCCCTCGGCTACCTCATAGATGTAGCCTGGGATCTTGTTGTCGGCAAGCTGGCTGCCGCCACATTAGCTAGCAGCAGTTAGAAACGATAAACATCCCCCTTGAAAGCACGTTCCTTAACAAGAACTCAGCGGCACTCTACGAAGATGATCTTGGCCATGCTGCGACCCTTCAGGCCGAGCCGATCTGCTGCAGCAAGCATGAAGATACGAGAGTACCACTTCGCCAGCGCACTGCTCTTTGCATATGCGGAGACAACTTCGTAGGAGTTGTGAAAGTCGTCGACGTACCTCGACAGTTTCGCAACCATGCGGGCATCTGTGCCGGCTGCTTGCATCGTGTAGTGGTCCCACTCCTGCTCCTTGTGCAAAGGAATCGAGGAGTCTTTGAAACAGTATACAAGGCGCATGCCACCCTCAGTGAAGGGTTGCAGTCTGATGGACACAGTCTGATTGGAGAATGCATGCCCATACACCCACTCACGGAAGCCTTTGTCAGTGAAGTTCAGGCCACGGCGAGTGATCTGAAAGCTGACGGATCGATTGTTGCCCCAGAAGAATTGGTTGGCAGGCTCGAAGCACACAGCTCTCAGTTCCAATGTTTTGTCTCTGGAACCATGCCGCACATCGTCACCGCTTGACTGGCCTTGGCCACCCTGGAAAGAAAATGTGCTCGACTTGCTCGTGCGGCTGGTAACAGTCTGCGTCTTAGTTATCGTCGATGTTACAGACGCGAAAGCTCCGTGCAGCGCAGCGATCGACCGACCAGACGGGGCAAAGGTGCCTCGCCCAATGGATGTCAGTTGCTGTAGCACATCGAAATCCAAGCCGTCTCCAAATCCAATGGCATGAATTCGGAGCGACGTGTGCTCCTTCATCATGGCTTGCACGAGCTTGAGAGTCTGTGGCCCATCTGCCGGACGGCCGTCACTAAAGATAAGCAAGTGAGGTGTCCCAGTAGCCTGGTCGAAGATTTTCTTGGCAGACTCCAACCCTGACACGAAATGTGTCCCACGGCTGGCTGCAGACTTGAAAGCCTGCTTCACCTGGAACGATTGAACTTTTCATCAAACCAAAAACTGGGAGACTATGCTCAGCTGCTGACCTTAATGACCTGAATGCACGCTTTCTAGAGCAGGGGCGCTCCCTACAGTAGTTTGGAACAAGCCCCTTATGCTGAACAAATCCAAGCAAGTTGGTCACACCACCACCTGCAAGGCAGCTGCCGCGGCTGTCTGTGCCTTGAAGTGCAAGCGCGGCTTCTCACTGAACGAGATGAGGGAGAAACGGTGTGGACAAACTGCTTGTGCCTGGCATGTATAACTTGAAGCATTGCTATAGTAGTAAAGAAGAGGGGCGATGACTGGTAGTTCTTCCTCTATTCAGATAGTGTTTGGGCCCTGATGCCTGTTTCTGAAAGAAGGAGGAGAGCGTCACCGTCACGGCCGCCATACGGGAAACCCAATTGCTGCCCTCGTCGGGCTTCACATCAATAGTGCGCATGGAGCCAGAAGTATCTACGATCACGATAATATGGGCCTGGTGGAGCTCAGGGAGCGCGGCACTCAGCTCAAGTGGTCTGCCAGCTTGGCTGAACGTACCTTTGAGCTCAGGAACCTTGTTCCGAACCTCCTCATGATCAGAGATTTCGTCCTCACTGTCCCCGGCACCGCTTGCATGTATGTGCTTCGCGTCTATTTCTTGCAAGGCATTCTTCATGGCCTGCAGCACCCCGCTGTCAACATCGTCGCTTTCAGCGGCAATGTTCTCAGCCGCAAGGATTTCCTCATGCCAGAGCTTGCCAGCATATTCCTCACCAGCACCCTGATGGGTATCATACTCCCCCCAGCAATGCTCACAGTAGAAGCAAAGTGAGTTGTCGCACCAGCCCTGCCGCGTGTGGTGGCACCAGCTGCACTCGTCTACTCGTGCTCGCAGACTGTCAGGACAAACAATGTTTTGCTGAACGGTTTGCTGTGTTTTGGCCTTGAATTTGACCTGGACCGCAGGGTCCCGTGGCCACCGTGCCTCGCCGACAGGCGCCATCCGAGCCTCTACTTCCCCGCTGCAAGCCGTTCATTGCAGCGGTCTGGGTTACAAAGTCTGGGCGATTGACGAAACTAAATTGCATCCATTGCCATGTGAGGTTGCTGCAGGAGAAAGCCGATTGCGCCCTGGCAAGGAGGCTTTTTTCAGGAGGCGCAAAGTCTCGAAGCCCATGTGCGCAGCCGTGATTTGGCTGGGACTTTGTTGCCCCTCCTACGCAGCTGGGACACATCCACATCGCAGGAATGTCAGGCGGTGAGATTACACTACTATCAAGGTGGTCAAGGCGAAGCTACTTATGCTTCGCCCACGGGGGTGGCAGAGTGACATCTCTCAGAGATCTCATGCAGGAAGAAAACGCCGCCAAAGGGCCTAGGGCGTGGGTCATCGGAATTTGGGGTTGGCATTTCTTGTAGCTTGAGCACGTCTGTACGCTTATATAGATTTTTGGGCGTATACGTGCGGCACCCCGATGTTCTCGGCATTGAAACTATAGATTTGAAGCTAAGAAGTTCTGCGAACCGAAGCCGCAGAATGAAGAAGCACGCACAAGCGACCGCAAAAATCGTGCTTTTGCGATATTCCAGAGAAGATGAAGCATGCGCAGCCAGCTGCCACGTGAGACCACAGCCACAGTGCGTTCGAAAGGCTGAGCGTTGTGTCACAGGCAGAAGACGACTCCGGCCTGGGCTGAGGCTGGCTCAAGGATGGACGTCCGTTTTCGGGTAGGAGTCAGCGCTCACGAAGCCCTGTGCAGTAGGATGATGTCTCCGACTACCATGGACCCTACCAAAACCTCTACTCGCGTGTCAACCGAAGCCCGGATGGAAGCGGTCAAGAAGGAACCTGAAGGCACCCAACGGCCACACCTCTGGCAAGCCTTCGAGATTCATCATCGCCATAGGGTCTGACCCATTATTCACATTTATCCACCCAGGTTTCGGCCCACGCTCGAGCATGTAATCGATCCGAGCTCATCCAGGCGTGTGGAGTCTTCACGCATTCTTTCTCTTAACAAAGCCACCCACAAGATAACAGCCCTGCCTAGACTTCCAAGCCCCGCACACTGCAGGAGTACGTCTCGACCTCCTCAGCTTGCATGCACTGCACTGCCGATGCCGTTTCGTAATCGACTTTCCCTGACAGGCATTAGAGGAAGAATTCGAGCGGCCTTACCGAATCGATTCATGAACACTCATCGCGAAAGGCACGCACGGGATGAGACATAGCTCTGGGGCTGACCCCGCCAGGCATAGAAGCATCGCATTGCGTTAGCGAGCTGCTTCTCCAACTAATTCCCCATTAATATGAATCACCGTGTGGACGCGCAAGCCCCAGACCCCAAGGCCTGCAGACACTGATTTGCTGATTAGCATGCAAGCCAAAACCCTCAACACGAACCCCATAGAGTGCCATAGAGCATTCGGGATCCTCAGCTCCCGGCTTCGGGAAAGTCGCACATTCCCGGTGGCAGCAGCAGCTCCTCAAGGCAAGCATGGAAAGCTGTGCTTTCCTGCCAAACCCTGCGCGAGTCCGTGAAGGGCCGGCTGTTGTGGGTTCATGCCGAGGTGCCCTTAGCCACTTAGGAGCAGTTAGGGGACTTGGGGGTCAGTTCAAAGTTCGCAAACGAGCCAATGCCAGCTCAAGCTCGAAGCCCGATTCTCCCAAACCGCGACGCTCCCGAAAAAGAGAAAACCCATCTGATGGACTTTGGCACTCAGCTTTTGGCTCCGGAGCTCAACAATAGTCATGAGTGTCTTCTCTCCTTACGCCGAAAAAGACTCGGAACCGTCCCCAACCACCAAACAAAAGCCTCCGATTGGTCCGACTCGGAATGCCACGACTCCTTTTTCAGAGCTGCTATCAAGGCTCGGGAAGTTCTTGGGAAGTCGTGCTTGTGCTGGAAGAAGGGTTTTTGGAGTTTGGAGGACCAGCAACAAGTGCAGAATTCAGTTTCGGATTTGGGGCATTTGGGCACTGAGTAGTTTCGACTGCATTTCCAAGCATAACAGCGGCACCCAAACGAGGGTTTCCTGCTAAGCAAAGGTTACACTGTGCGGAGGACTCTCTGGTTGGCTTCTTGGCTATCTTGGAGTCTGTGTGGCCCTGCCATGCTCTGCCTCTTCCCCTGTTAAACTTTGGCATCCAAAGGAACTTCAGACGCCAACCTAAACCCTATGGTGACGTCTGTACTCACAAGTCGAAGTCCTCGTCACCACAGGTGTCATGGTCGTCCTCCTCGCTCCCGCCCTCGATCTCAGCCTTCGGGGATGGAGTCAGCTGACATTCAATCCGTTCATAGTCGGCTCTGATGAAAGTCTAAAGAGTCCTGACTTTGAACTCCTGAAACCATGCAGATTCTAAACCTGGATCGCTCCTTCCCGCAGCGCGTTGCGTTAGGTCTCCTGGGTTTGGGATTTCAATGTTTGGCTTGAACCACGCATGTATTCCCGCAGCAAAGTTGCCGATGGATAGAGAGCGGGACGCGTGCGCTTTAGTTCCTTAAGTCCTGAAGGCCAGCTCGCTGGCGGGCGGGGGGGGGGGCTTAGCAGCTTAGCATGTCTAGTGCAGCAGATGGAATGCAGAAGCCCCTAAAACGTCCCAGGAGCCACGGGCCCAAGGCTCCTTGGCAAAGGAGCCCGCAATCTTCCAAACATGCACAGCAAGCCACCATCAATGGGGTTTCGACGCTTTCGGGTCGAAAGGTTGACGGGGCTCGGGTAGACAGCACATCGTCAGCAAGAGAGCTTTACAGCCGAAAGGGGGGATGACTTCCTGATCCAAGGCAGGAACGGAAACACCAAACTCGTATAAACCCGCAACCCGACCGATTCCCAGGCATTTCAGGGCTGTGGGGGTTGGGGTTGCTCTTGCCGGATGTAGAACCGGATCGCACTAAGAGGGAGATTGCTGAAGGCACTGATTTCAAGACATTTTTCAGTTTGCCATCCTTGCCGTCTTCTAGAGAACCCCGTTTTGAAACGCCGGGCCTCAGCCTGGAGGATCCCAAATGCCCAGGCAAGGGCCTGGCGCGGAAAGCTCTTGGATGCTCGTGGGTTTAGGGAATGAAAGTTTAGGCGTTAGGATTCATGGTCCGTGGTTGGTTTTGAGGGTAGGGGTTTGGGGTTGAGAGCCCGAACCATCCTGACGAACATGCTGGCCATGAGGATTATGATCGAAATGCGCCAAAGACCCACAGCCTCTGGACGTACTCGCAACATGCAAGCTACAATCAGACTCGGCTCAAGTTCCTGGACCCTTTTCACTCAGGGTGTACGGCTGTACTTGAGGGTTTCTCCTATGTTGGGGGAAGAAGTCAAAACCGCACCAAGCAAGACGAGCTTTACACTCGGCCCACTCGGCAATCGCCATTCCGAGCTTGCATGGGAGGTTATGGCTTGTATGGCTTTAGTGTACGATCCCTGACTTAGTCCGTACACTTCATGGTCTCAGCTATCGGAGCTGGGAAATGTGGGCAAATCCTTTTGATGTCCATTGCAGTGAGAATCCATGCCTTGAGACCCTTGTCACCCTGCGGTTTCGGCTGCAGATTCAGGCCCAAAAAGATTTCAACCACTCACCCTTGGCCAAGCCTGTTCGACTGCCAAGACCCCTAAACCAAAAGCCCGCACTGACGAGGTTAGCCAAAAACCCTAACCCCAGCGTCCCAGCCCGCGGCCTCGACCGGCACAAAAGAGGGGCTGTCCTTCCAAGCTGTGGGATGTGGGAGTTTGGCATACTGAAACCTCCTGAACCCCTGGGAACGCGAGCTAGACCCCTATGTCAAGATCGTGAAAGTGTCAGTGCCTGGCGTGGCATCCAAGGGACCCTTGTAGAAGTCCGCGAGATCATTTCTCCACACTTGCGCTTCACGATGTTGAGAAAGGGTGTGGAAACATAACTGGGCATGTCTGCTGAAAGGAGATGCTCAGGGGGGGAGGGCCGACACACAACAGCCAAGGAGCGAAGGACAGCTAAATACCAGAGACGCCACAGGGCACTCACCCAAAGCAAAGCACGGAACTTACCAAATGCAGGCAAGGGCCTAGCGCGGAAAGCTCTTGGATGCTCATGGGTTTAGGGAAATGAACGTTTAGGCGTTAGGATTCATGGTCCGTGGTTGGTTTTGAGGGTAGGGGTTTGGGGTTGAGAGCCCGAACCATCCTGACGAACATGCTGGCCATGAGGATTATGATCGAAATGCGCCAAAGACCCACAGCCTCTGGACGTACTCGCAACATGCAAGCTACAATCAGACTCGGCTCAAGTTCCTGGACCCTTTTCACTCAGGGTGTACGGCTGTACTTGAGGGTTTCTCCTATGTTGGGGGAAGAAGTCAAAACCGCACCAAGCAAGACGAGCTTTACACTCGGCCCACTCGGCAATCGCCATTCCGAGTTTGCATGGGAGGTTATGGCTTGTATGGCTTTAGTGTACGATCCCTGACTTAGTCCGTACACTTCATGGTCTCAGCTATCGGAGCTGGGAAATGTGGGCAAATCCTTTTGATGTCCATTGCAGTGAGAATCCATGCCTTGAGACCCTTGTCACCCTGCGGTTTCGGCTGCAGATTCAGGCCCAAAAAGATTTCAACCACTCACCCTTGGCCAAACGAAACTTATTGACAGCTTTGGCACATTGTATATCATGACTTGCAATGACACAGTCCACCACAAAGCAGCGCAACGCGGCCTCGTCAGAGGAGCTGAAGCAGCTCCAGCTTGACGGCGATGCCTAACTGACTATGTCTGCCGTCCTTCCGCTTCAAATGCAGTTGTAAACCGGCCTCGTCAAAGCGAATGCAAAGCCTGTGATGCGAGCTAGGTGAGGCCTGCCACAGGTGTCGGTCGAGAACAGGTTTCTGTCAGGGTCTTGTCTCGAAACCCCGCCGTAAGCTGGGGCTTGGTATGTGACCCCACTCTGGCGGCTCAGCGAGTAGTACGACATTGCCATGAGAGCAGCGGCGAGCGCCGACACGCAAAAGCCAAGGAGCGAAGGAC